CCCGGGAGCACGGACGCGGCCCGCGATGCCCCGTGGCTTCGTTCTGCTGCCGGAGCCGACCCGTTTGTGCTAAGCCCCGACGAAACGACAGCCGGCCCGGGGGGGGCTCGGCCAAGAGCCCCTGACATTCTAAACCGCGGGGTGCAGTGACAGCTAGCTGGCTGCCGCTGTTTTTTTTTTTTAAATACCTTGTGGGTAAATTCAGGCTTAACGAATAGCCTCCCTCCTCCAGCACCGCCCTGCCCGGTATAATTTCCCTATTGATTTTTTGCTTTCAAAGCAGATCAGGCCAAATTTATTTGGCATCGCTCCTGTTTTGGCAAAGTCATTGTTGACCCTGCTGTGCCTTGCCATGCCTTAAACAAACGCAAAACCAAAGAACATCCCTCTTTGAACCAAAAACCGGGTCCAAGCTCCTCTGAACAGATAAAAATAAACACAAAAAATACTGACTCAAATGGAAGAAGCTTTAAAAAGAAGAGAGTAAATTTACACTGCTTGGCAAAGGCCTAGCTTTCAGACACCTATTTATATAACAAAGCCACTTTGTCCTTGCTACATATTGTTTGCTTTTTAATACTGACATCATTAATGGAGCTGCAGAGCACACCGAGTACTAAGTATGCAATATGCACATAACAGATCAGCTCTGGCAGCTCCCTCTTTTAATAAGCGTGCCTTTGATTATATGGGCAAGGAGACATAATTATGGTCTAACCTGCAAGTTTGAATACATAAAAACATCCTGGAGCTACAAACCAGACTGAGATTTCCATTCTCCGGTACCAACAGATGGGTTTCTTTACGGCGGTCTTGGATTTTAAGCATTCACACCATTTGAGAAGAAGCAGGCCACCTACCACGCTGCCCTGCGCGTGCCATGGCAACAGCACCCACGAGGAACACATCTAAACCTCTACCACACCTACAGAAAGTCCTCGTAACCACACACGACGACAGTTAATGCGGGCAGTTGTGCCTGTGTAAAAACCACACGCGATACTGTGTAAGAACCAGGGCCTCCCCTGAGAACACAGCAGGGTATTGCTTTTGCCCTGCTGCCTCCGGTCAGCTGCCGGCTTCGGGCGCTGCGGGTACCACAGGATGGCGGCATTTCCCTGCCCACCGGCCTCCACCTTCCCCGGGAAAGAAGCGCTCGGGCTGAGCACGTAGCTGCCCTCCCGTCCTCGAGTCTGAAAATCGGAGGGCGGGCGTTTAGCTGCGGTTACCTCTTTACGTACGATTTTATTAGCTTTAAGCTGAATTTCATGCCACGCTACGTTAAGGGAGGAGTTTTTCAGATGCACAAACGGTGCCTGTGCCAGTACTAAATTGTGGTTATTTGACACAAGTGCCTCCCAACGGCCTCACAGGAGGTAGGAAAAACGTCAAAAACAGGGGCTGAGGCGGCAGGAGGCCACCCGGGGCGGGAAGACGCGCGTTACCGTGCGCCCTCCCGCTCCCCTGGCACCTCTCCTCAGAAACCGAGGAAACACCGCTGAGGTGGGCAGCTCTGAAGTCCGAGCGGGGCCCGAGCTTTTACAGTTTTAATATTAAGCCCTATTTCTTAACAGCAACAAAGCGCTGGAGCAAACTACTACAGAAAAGAGTACTATCGTTTCATGAAAAGGCGGATAAAGCTACCCAACACGCCGGGGGAGCGCGGGCTAACCAGGCTCTCTCAGAGCCTTACCTCCTCCGGCCCGGCGCCATCTCGGCGCTTCCATCCTCAGCCGCTGTGGGTGGTAG